AGGGTTGTAGCCAGTGGGGACCAAGGGATGTTTGGCAGCAGGTTGTGGTCCATAGCATGTGTTCACGAACTTCTTGAAGGACTTGCTCTTCGCCACATTGAAGGGGATTGCGTTCTCCACAAAGAACTCGATGCAACTCTCATCAATGTCCTTTTGCCGTGGGCTTTTGACCCACCTCGCGATGGAACTCTGCTTCATCTGCCCGCGATTACACACTCGTGCTTGCAGTGCATTAACACGAGAAGGGTCTGCTTCCCCCCGACATGCACCTCGCACATCGACGGCCCTCCCCCCAACATCCTCCACCCCACTGCAAGACTGCGAACCTGGCTCTCCACCCCTCCCCACTTGTCTCCCTCCTTCGTTCCCAACGTCTGCTCCGACATCTCCTCCCTCCGAGCCACCATCACCAGTGTTGTTCTCCTCCTCCTCCGCTGCCCGCACCAATTCCAACAAGTCTGCAGGCAATACCACCCTGGCAGCATGCAGCCTCCTCTAGATAGCTAGTGTCCCATGGGGGCAACGTGAAGTTGGCCTCTTCCAAATGAAGTGCTCAACTGCACGCGGTTGTCCCCATTGAACTCACGACCACACAACTTGCATTTCAGGCGACGACCACCCCGCGTCGTCTCCTTCAGCTTCTGCGCAACAGACACCCACGACCACACACAAAAGTTACCCCAAAATGTCGGATCCTCCCTGAACGGCTCCTTCCCAGCAGCTGCAGCTGAAGTTGCACTTGTCATGTTGCAGATTTGGCGGCTGCTGGACAATTACACGGGACTTGCGCTGAGAGCTGATGTCACACTTGCTGATGTGGCCTGCCTCCCACATATGCACGCGCAGTCGCACAACCAATCACCACGTGTCAGCCTCTCATTCAAAAAAAAACAAAAAAAAAACAACAACTGGTGGGAGAGGAGGAGGAAGACGCCGACGTTGGTGAAGGTCGTCTTACTCCTCCCCCCCCCCGCCATCTGCTGCTCGTGGATGGACGAGGGCCCCAATCAGCATTTTCCTCCTCCTCTTCCCCATCGCCATCCTCCTCCCCCACCTCCTCCTCCTCCCCACCGCCGTCTTCTGCCTCCTCCTCCTCCCCTCCTCCCCATCGCCATCCTCCTCCTCCTC